GTCACTCCATTTAATTGTTTAAAAAAATAAGCAAAGTCTGGATCGAATAGAATTTAACAATGTACAGTTCAGATTTCAATTATGTGAATGTATCAGTAACGATACGAGCGTCAGAAAATCAAACTTAAATCAATCGTCATATAACGCATTTCAGCTTGTATCACGAACGCTTGATACGAAAATTCAAACATTTCAAACATGTCTCTATTTAATGCGAGACCTGTCGGTAGAATTTAGAATTGCAACCCTTACTTAGCAATTCTGCGAATCTCCCGGCGCATTATGTTGTTACAAAATGTGGTTCCATTTAAGTGATCGGCGTTTTGGGGTGAATATGTATACAAAAAGGGATTTAAATGTGCTTTCATACAATTGATTTTATTTTTAAGGTAAAAAGGTTCGATTTAGAAGAGGATTATTTATTTATAACAAAAAAAAAAATTAAAATCGACCTTTGTAGCCATATTACAAAAAAAGACATGTGTAGTTTATTGATCCTTTAAAAATTAAATAAATGTAAAAACCGTCTCTCTGTCTACCCCTCAATGCATTTAGAAAAAGAATTCCATTTAGTTGTAATTATTGCATAATATAAAAATAAACTTTAAAGTACTCAACCCTTAAAGATAATGTTTATTTATTAATTCAAATGTACTGTTTGCCAACTTTAATTGCCTTTTCATGTATAATTAGAGCATGGAGGGCAGGGAATCGGATTTACGGTACAAGTGCCATGAATCTTAATTCCTTAGAGGAGACGAGATATTCATTTTGTAATTAACTAGTTCAATCAGTTTTAACATTACTTATTCTATATTATTTAACTCGATTTAAAATGTCATAAATAATGATATTAAGACTGATCTATTAAGAATTATCACAAATGTTTTTTTTACAAATTATTTAAGCACAGACTTTTTTTGTCTGCCTTGTACAAAAAATATCATTTATTTGTATTGAACATTCTATATTTTAGCCAGTAGGTTTTGTATAAGCATTAAGTTTTATTTGATTGCTGATTAAACATTTTCGTCATCCCAGTAACATCGTTAACACAAAACAATAGACAGTTTATGATGTGACGTAGACAAATTAACGAGTGCACGTGCTATGAAGTGGCGCCAAACAAAATGAGTTAGAGCGCGTCGTGTGAACTTTTGGCGAATTTATTTCTAGGGAAGATCCGGGCGAAGCTTAATAGCGCCTTAAGCGGTAATGTGTGGTCATAAATTAAACGATAATAAGTTGAGACAACAACGACGCTGTTAATGACTGCACGTTCAGATAGTGGCCGGCGACTAACGCCGCGCCGCGTACTTTAATACCGCTAGCGAAAATGATGGCACTTTTAGAATATCTTAAACGGTTTTTATGAAGCTATATTGTTAGTTGAATTAGCACTTACATTATCAATAAGCTATTGTGTGATTGGATTGCATTAAATGATAGTCTATGGGAGTTACTACAGTTTCACACTTTTTTTTTAATATATTATTTTTGATTAACCATGACATATGTTTTCTTTAACTAATTATACTGTTTGTTAGAGTTTGTGGCCTAAACAGCTAAACGGATTTTGATGAAATTAGATGTAGAGGATAGCCTGGAAGAATACATAGGCTACACACTTTTGTTTTTTTTTTTAAATTTCACGCGGACTAAGTTGCGGGCGAAAGCTACTGCTTACATAATACAGATTGAAATTTTATTTTGTTTAAAATAAGAAAGTATTAATGTGGACTTAGGAAACTATTTACTTGCTTACAACTTCCTTTTGCTTAATTGAAACAATCGTTAAACTACCAAACAAGACGACTTTGTTTCGCAGCACATAATTAATGAAAAGGACAACGGGAAACCGTTAGCCTAATTAGACGACACGGATTAGATCTAAGATCAATAGATTCACAAAACGCAAAATACGTTTGCTGTGGAGTTGCGTAAACTATAGGGCACCTAATATTACTACTAGGATAAACCAAAGCTGTTAATTACTAATAATGGTAATTTCACCTCTTACTTAGGGTACGCTCCGAGCGCATTAGTGGGGACGAATAGTGTGCTGGTGGTGATGAATGGTAATTTAATAATTGTATTGAAGAAATCATGGTCATTTAAAATTTGGATCGTCTAAATAAAAGTACTAGCAAATTTCACCTCAGAATAATCACAAAAATAATTTTTCAAATTCAAAATATATAGCATCATTAAACTCTGCTTAATTGTCTCAGGAAAATAATTTGGGATAATAAAGCGCAGTGTTACCAAAGTTACAAATAATTTCTTAACTTTAAAAAAATGGGGCTTATTTTTTTTAATAATCGTTATTTGTAAAAGGTACACTAGAGACCTTTACCATAATAATTTAACGTAATAGAAGAAAAATTAACAAAATAATTTCTGTGTCCGTTAATAATTCTCTAAAACAATCACACGCAGATACGAAAGAAGAAATTCGACTCACCGAAATTTTGAGATTAAACCGGTTCTTAAAAAAACTATGTCCAGAAGTGGAAACTTTTTATTGATACCAAAAACCAAACCAAACGTACAATAGTAATTAACACTGTACGTGAATTTGAAGCTCTAAAACCTGTCAATAGGAACGCAGACGAAGTAATTACGCTGATAGTAAGCGCAAACCTGAATCCTTGCTTTGTACAGTTTTGTAACAACGCGGTAACGACAAAGCTCGCTACGGATTTGTTATTATTTCCACTCCAACAATATGACGATGAACAACTCTTTGAACTTCTCATCGTCTTTGATTCTCGTTAAACTGTATTTACAAGAGTGGCCATTTTTATTTACTTTAGCTTTTGCGGATTTACTAAGAGCTGAGATAACGTCAACTGATTTATTTCTTTTGATTTTTAATTTAAATACCTACATAATACACACACTACAGTTTTAAAATGTTTAATACATACTTCTTCAAACTTCGTAGTATCACAATTATAAACAAATGTTTATTTTCCCACAGAAAGATAATAGTTTTTTATAATTATTATACTCGTATTTAATCTGATTGTAAATATTTTGCATTGGTTAATTTAAATAATTCAGCTTTACACATCGCGATGAACATCGCTTGCTTGTTTCAGTGAATAAATATTTATGCTTGATTGGTAAGTAATTACTTAACAAACGGGGCCGGGTCGAAGGGAAGTTTCGAGACAGCCGTGAATACGGTTAGAGCCTTAATAGATGTAACTAATCCCGTCAGAATGAAAATGAATTGATTAAGGGATTTAATTTAAATTAATTAAATTAATATTGACATACCTGTATTAAACCTTTCATCCTTATGTACTTATTGCCATGATTAACAAATACTTTGTATCAAAAGATATTTTAAACTCACTAATAACTTTTTCATAGATTTTTGAGATCTACAATTCTTTCATACATCATTTTTATATAGCTCTAACGGTTTAGGCTGCGTAAGCCGAGAAAAGTTTAGTGAAAAAATTTTTAAAATCGGCCCAGTAGTTTTTGAATTACCTCAATACATACAAAAATACAAATATTTCCTCATTATAATATTACTATAGAGTATAGATAAATTGTTACATAATATTTTTGATTAGTTAAGTAGTAGAAAAATGCTTTGTAAATATTAAATTATCAGTTTTATTTTGATTATTGTGATTTAATATGAAATAAATATCTATGTACAATGCGTTATTTACGGTCAAAAATCATTACATTTACCAACCGATAGGAATCACGAATTTCCATTTAGCATGACCTGATATGCTACTCTCGCTCCGTTTGATCTCTTTCACGTGACGGAGGCTACTCTTGATATTGCTCTGCATTGATGTGTCACCAATGATCTAGATACTCGTATGTTCCTATAATATTCATCTATACATTGTCTTTATAAATAAAACTATCTAAGTTCATTTTTTTAACTTTAATTCAAGTACGTATTTCGTTAAATAAATCTTTTTTAGTTGCAAAATTTGATTTTCAATTAACAATTTAGCAATGTGACTTTGATGTGATTGGACTAATAACATAATCTAAAGTATCATTTAAAATTCGTTAAATTAAGTAACATTAAATTCTTACTTGAACGAGGGCTCTAAAAGACGGCATTCAAACAATTTGTGTCTGGGGCTCTTAAATTAAGATAAAATTGTCTTTTAATTTATTTCATTCTTAGATTTCATTAAGCCCTTAGTTAAAGGGAGAGTAGAGATTATTAAACATATATTATGAATTTATCTTAATAATAGTATACAATTAAATACAATATTGTATGGATGTAATAAATCTTGTTGCCTAAAATCCTAACATTCATTTGATATTGTGATTTTTATTGAAATGTATGTTTCTTCAAAAATATTTAGTTACAGATATCTAACTTCCAATTGAAGCTGATTCGATATCTTTAGTTGATTTTTATGCTAATTAATATAATAACTTTTTTATATGGTTTCTAAGTACAAAAGAAACCCTTAGAAACGCTATACAGCACCATTACTAATTATATTTCTTTTCATCTTCGATAAGCCGGTAACGTAAAACGATTCCGACAAAAGCCGAAGGTATAAAGAGAAAACAAAGCAGTCTAAAAGAAAATTGGGAGGGTCGAACGAAGACATCATTGACGTAATTTTCTTTGTTGCTTCATACTAAGAGCTTGTTAATACAGTAAACTGAACTGATATTGCCACTGTGAATTCTTAAGCTAAATTAAGCAATCGTATTAAATTAACGTAACCAAACTTACGTATATTTAATGTTATAAGATATTAGCTAATTTATAAAAATAAACGTAAGTTAAGTCTAATCTAAATATTACAAATGAATAAAAATAAAAATAGCATAAAGTAATGGCACATAATAATTTTAAAGTTATTTTATTTAAAAAAATTAGACTGCATAATACAAAAGTTAAATAAGACAAGTTTAATTAATAGTAAATATCTGAATACAAATTGAACAAGACTAGAATTTGACTTATAAACAATATGTGTTTACTTACTGACCCTTATCTAAAAAGTTTTCAAATTGTTGTTAAATATTCCATCGCTGGTTCAACACTAGAGCAATTTAACTAAATTATTTCTAATATTTAAGAATTAATAAACATATTCCAAGGAGTTTGACGGTTTAAGTTTACGGTGTTATTCGAATTCCGCGTGTTTTACTCGACGAAGTGTAGCGACGTGCGCACAGCACCGCGGTGAGAATCGCACTGAGCTCGGAGGCTCTTGACAAGACAATCTTTGCCGTACACACTGCCCCTCGCCAGATAACAGCAACTTGTGAGCTTTCGCTCGGATAACGGCCGGGCAACTGAAGCTTTGTTTCCGCCTTTTTTGTAACTAACACCAATGTTAGGCACGAAATAATTGTTTAGATAACCCTTTGGAGCTTTTGTACTACAACTTTGTTTTCCTTATTGTTTTTCAAGTCTGTTGCTTTAAGACTGTAAAACCTACAGTATTATAAGTTTATTTTATTTCATTTAAAAATCTATGTGGTCTAGTTAGAACTGAGACTATTTAAAATGCTGGGTTACTTTCTTGTTACACTAGGGGTGGTTTTTATTGTTTATGGATTTAGTAGTATCTTATGTGTGCCATTATGCGAAAATTAAATTTTTCCTATGTTGTTTAAATATCGTTATAGTTTCCTTTTAAATGATAATTAAATCAATGTAGAAAATTGGTTTAACAATTTTTACAATCGATAAAACTAATGAAATTCTTTTGAAACTTGAGGCGTTGAAGTCGTTTACTAAAATACGTTTATTTCGAGGGTGTGTATAAAACAGGCAAGTCACAAAACAAGATAACATTCGGCAAGTATTCGGCTGCGGGAATCTCATTTTCAATATGTTTTTATAACTTTCAGTGAGGAAATGAGGTGGCGCTCGGGGCGCTCGACGCCGACATTGTCATCATAAAGTAACCGAGGTCTCTTCATAAATCCGCTGCGAATGTACCTTTATACGCATTACGCCATAACACCGAGGATTCTTTCTCGCGAAATAATACTTTTAAAATCCTACAAATAGCTTGTATTAGTCTACTAATCTTTATTTAATATGAACTCATTTAATATCGTGCGAATATTTTATGTAAAGACTAAAATTATGCATAAATCAATGGTGCTTTTTTAAGTTTGTTAAACTAGCTCTTGACCACGATCCCACCTGAATAAAGTGATGATGTAGTCGAAAGATGGTACGCGCTAGGTTAATCGGTAGTTGTTTACTCTTCATGGTTCTGATGGTATAATATGATAGGACCTTTGCTTTCTGTTTTAAGAATATCAGCAATTACATCATATTTTGAAAGTGTTTATTAAAATGTAAATAACACTATATTTATTTTGGTGATGGTAAACAAAATAGTCTACAAAAAACAATATTACAAAACTTTTACAGAATATGAAATAGGTTCTAACAAATCTCATTCTACTGAAAGCGAGAATTATAATTTATGATTTCATTTCAAACCTAAACGCAAATATTTTTTTGAGCGTTCGTTGGCATTGCGCGAAATCTTTCTTGTTCAATTTTCGCCAGTCTCAACATAATAACCTCTTGTTGACAGTGCTGCCCCCGCACGGCCCCGAGCACTCCACAAGCAATAAGACAGTAATAAATGTTCAGATCCAAAGACAAGAATAAAAAGGAATATAATAAGTAGATATTGTGAATCGGTACTTGGGGGGACTTCAATATTGCCTCTCTTCATAGATACTATGCGATGGATTTCTTGCTGATTAGTATAAGTGCTTAGTACTCACAAAGGCACTAAGAAGATAGCATTTGTTACTTTGACAGTAAAATATATGTTACGTCTTACATTTTCTTTCATAATTATAATCAACTAGCTTTCGGCTGCGACTCCGTCCGCGTGGAATTAAAAAAAAAGTAAGTAACCTATGTGTTCTTCCAGATTATTCTCTACATTTGTACCAAATTTCATCGAAATCCGTATAGCCGTTTAGACTACAAACTCTAACAAACATCCATCCATCCATTAGTATAATATTAGTATGATGTAAAGAAATTAATACCAGACGCAATGAAATAACAGAAGAGTTTCGCTTTTGTATAATGCAGCACCTAGTTAAAAACGTAAATAGGTAATGAATAAATAATTTGAAAGCAGGGTGAAGGCAAGTTTCTCGTCAAAGCTTCATTTCGCGCAACGTGGATTATCCATATTATCCTAAAATCTCTGAACGGCAGCCGCCTGCACAGTACACTGATCGTGGCTCATATAAAATGACTTCATTTTTAGATCGCTACTTTTTAATCCTAACTTTAATTTCGAATAATTACTCCATAAGGTTTTTTCTACTGAGGCCGTTTTTATTTCAGCGCTTTATTAAAAATCTCCTTGAGAAGGAAGAAAGTTTTTTTCGCAATTCCACCCGGCTGTTTCGCTGAATTACTTTCAGTCGATCGTGGTCTTTATAAAGAATATCGACGATTTATTAAACATATTAGTTTCAGAATTTAATAGTACGACAGTACAAACACTTTGACTGCGTCTACTATGATACTCGAATGAGAACAAAATCGACAGTAAAACAATGAGGTTCAGGTCAGATTTTCGAAGTGTTCAAACTAGGATCGAGAAGACTGACTAAATTGTTTTATGATTTGTATGCTCAGTTGTTTGTTGAATAATCAAGAGAAGTATGTCGGGGCCGTGCAAAATGTAAATCCGAAATAATCTCTAACTACCTCTGAGTTGCGGACGTGAGAGCTTTTATCTTTTTTTTATAAATATAATGAGAGCGCCTGAGCGCTCGCTTCAAGCTGCAGCACACGAGTAACTCGAGTTTGATCTCTGATGCAGGCGTTAATTAAATCTTTAATTACATTTTAACGCGTTAATATACTATGCTCCAACCAATAAAGTTTAAAAATATAAACATGAAGCTTTGGGTAATAATACCCAAGTATCAGAATTACTACAATTAATATTGAACTTTTATAAGTGAAATGTGATCTTAACGAAGGCGATTCGATTCTTGGAAATATATTTTGATAAATGTGTTATTTTGGCTCTTGTCAATTACTGTAAAGTGACAGGTCCATGATAGGAATCGTCAATTTCAAATACCTATTTGCTTAAACTCTGGAAAGCGACTTTGCATCGGTTCCTCTGGACAATCACTTTAATTGCAACAAGAAACGCTTTCTTGCTATCTCCCGCCGAAAGAATGTACGATATTTCTGAACTGAATGAAAAAAGATTTAGAAGTAAGTATCTTTTAACCCAGTGACTTCTGGTGCACTTTGTAGTTTAGCAGGTTGAAACAGTACTGAATGCATTTGAAACGAAAAGCGTTAAGGTAAAATGTTCCTAGGGCTTTTTTGTCAGTTAATGGAAGTTCTTTGTTCGGATATTCCGACCGGACGGGCGAGTAGAACTTGAAATCGGATTAGCGATATCGGGCATAGAGCGTGATGGAATCGTCGGAGCATTATCTCCTGCAGCGCACGGCACGTTTAGACCGACTCCGCATAATCAAACGACATTATTCCATACGACTGTTATTGAATCATCTCATTTTACGATGAATGAAACGTTCATTGCAAACAAAAATGGTAAATCAATACCATATTGTTATGGTATACATTTTCATTTCGAAATCTTTTATATAAATAAATTAACAAATTGTTATTTGTTAATGTCCCTGTCATGTCCAACTTTCTAACATCACTACAAATTCTTGTAGATATTTATCAAATGAATATTCTGTGAAATACAGAAATTACCAACTCGTGAAGGCAGTAGCCGTGTAAGGCTAAGATTGTCTGAACAACAAGATAATGGGGAGGTAAGCGCTAGAGTGCCTCGGGTTTATCCCGACATTGAAATGTTTAGAGGCAATGCTATTGACGTTAGTTTCAGGGCTGTACACATCTTGTAAGGATGAATCAAAATGGGTAACATATTTAGTATTACATAGTAAATAATATTAATAACAATCTAAATTAGATGTAAAGTTTTAAAATATACCATAAATTTAACATATAATGTACTGAATAAAACTGACTTGAAGTCTTCTTCTTCTTCTTCTTTTGGTGCCATCCCTAACGAAGGTTGGCAATAATTACAGCAACTTAAAGTTTGGACACAGGATCTCTAAGTATAGAACGCGTACTTTTGTTGTACCATTGACTTGAAGTAATGAAAACATTATAAAATAATTGAAAAGACCAACCATGTTTAAGTCTTTAAATTTAACTCTGAAATTAACATTATTGAATCGAATTATTCGGCATTTGTTATTTACCTAAAGATTATTATATATTTTTAATTAATTTCTGAAAATATTAATATTCACCCTGGTGAAAGATAAAAAAAGGGCCGCGGAAGCAATTATATTAAGCGCTCAAATTTTGATCAGAGGGCGGCAAAACACTTCTTTATTTGTTAAATATTCATTACAGTATTTCTTGATACATTTTATAATTTGACAAAAAGCATGAAAGTCTGCTTTATTATACTTAATATAAATTATGAGAAATTTTTTGATTGTTTCAGGTCTATTCCAAATGTCTATGATACAATTTTTCTTTCCAACATATACTCTGTTGATCAAAATTATTGTGAACTCGCAAGTCGTGAGTTTGGAAGCAAACTTTGCGGAGGCAAAACTTGTTAGCGGTATGTATATAAACTTAATTAATACTAACTCTAATAGAGTTTAGTATTGTACACAAAATACTCTATACCGAAACTAACATTTAACCCTACTAGATTAAGAGGAGTTAGGAGCGCTTTTTTCCTAGAATTGTTATTATCTATGCTTTCCACATTTCAAATGGCTGCACAAAGTATTAGCATACTTATTCTCACTAAAAATCAGACAAAACAGTATAATATTTGAGAAGTGATGCCACTTCTAGATTCTGCAAATCTTAGTAAACCATTGTTTACATACTCTATTCAGTATATTTAGCTATAACCAACGCGCTCGTTATAAGTTTGGAATCAAATAAACGTGTAATCAGAAACAGGATGTTGCTATACAAAGGGTTGAGAAAAAGAACAATAATGAAGTGAATTAAGCCCGGTAGTGCACAAGGATGCTGAGATTGGTCCGACTAAGATTGATGACGTCATTTTCTTCTTCATTAGCCAGTTTATTCTTTCTTGGCGCGAATTTACAAGGTTTAGATTACTCGAAGCCGATTT